GAAACCAAATCATATTTGTGAATCCGTACTCCTTAAACGCGTACATGCGAAATGATTTGAATGATTATTGTTATAGATTATTTTATGAAATGTAACCTATTCAGTGCAAACTTTTCCACGAACTAAACAAATATTTGTTTAATGCAATTCTCAAATTCTAGTTTAAATCAAGTTCTTATTAGTTTCATTTAGTTTAGGTGTTATTCTATCAATTTAAAAGTTTTTCTATAACTTAAAATGGAATTCTCGTTATCTAAACAACAAATCGCTGATATTTGGGAAGATTTTAAGTTATTTGATAAGGATTGTGATGGTACAATTACATCAGTGGAATTAGGAGCTGTAATGAAAACTTTTGGATTAAATCCAACGGATAGCGAACTTGCTGACATCATCAACGCATTTGCTGTTGATAACGACGAACTCATCGATTTCAACAGTTTTCTGCAAATGATGCCGTCTTGGAGAAAGTGAAGCTTTTCGACTTTTTGATAAAGACTGTGACGGATTTATTTCTATTGAAGAATTTCATGATGCATTGGATAAACTAGGTGAGAAATTTACCGATAAAGAAGCAAATCAAATATTACAAGCTATCGATATAGATTGTGATGGACGAATAAGCTATGAAGGTAAGTTTGAATTGAATTTTACATTGATATAAAATTTCTCTCAAATTCATGTTTAGCTTTGAATAATCTCTAACATTTATTTTGAATAACTATTTTATTTACAGAATTTGCAAAGGCGATTGGATATAAACTTAAATCGAAGCTTTCATAAATCTAAATTCTATTTCAACATAGGCTGAAACGTTATGGCATTTGTCTATGAATTTTAAATAATAAATCGAAGCTTAATGATAGATGAAAAGATCGGATACATAATCGTTTTGCTTGCTTGCAATTTTCCTGTCATTATAAGAATATGCGAACCTCGATCATAATTATCTTCTAATTAATGAATAACATATCAGTATTTCAATAAAAGATACAAAATCTCAGGCAATCATAAGAATAAGATATTGATTCGATATAAGTATACATTATTTATGTGTTTATTTTAAAACAGGACAATTTTTTTGAGTGCGGTAAATGAAATTATCCTGAGACTAGCAGTTATGCAATTACAGTTTTGATTTTGATTAGTTTTCATTCATTCATCTAGCTGATCAAAATTTGATCACTATTTACTTAATCTTTGAAATATTAAACAGGTAACATTATTTCCATTGCGCCCACTAAAACTAAATTGTGGTGCCAAAGTCATAAAGCCATCTATACACAAATCTTTTGCCATCTGATCGACCAGTTTAATTGATTTGTCAGCATAATCTAATCCAGTTAAATCAGTGTAACCCTCTTGATACAACGAATACAGTAAATGACCATTAACACAACCAAGGTCTATTATTTTACATTTAACACAATCCGGCAATTTACGTTTCACCCATTTAACCATTTTAGTAACCAATCCTTTACCGAACCAGATTTCACCAGGATCCTGATGATCAAGATAGTTATCCAGTTATCCCTGGTACAAATTTTCCCAGTAGCCTTTAGTTCCGAGGAGAGATGAGTTTATTGTTTCTTCTTCCATGTTCATAGATTGGCGAGCTTTAATTACGCCTTAAACTTCCTCTATCACAATGGTTTCATTCCCTTAAATCGATACACTTCAGATACATATTCGACGCCATACGTTTAGATCGGTTGTGAAATAATATTTTAAAAAATAAAACTTAGCAATGAATTCAGAATAAAACTTTTCTTTCAACATGTTTATGGAAATGTTTTTTGTTGTTTAGACTTGACTTTTCTTATCAAATCATAAGTTTTGAAATAGATTTGCAGCGCAATACATGATATCGCGATGTTACTCTGTACGCGGGTGGATAAGTCAGTGTATCTTATTGACATCAGCAATAAATTCAAGATCTATGAAAATCTCTCGCCCAATAAATTTTGTAGAATGAGAGGATATTGAACAAAAAATAATAACAGCAAAAATCACAGTCGGTTAAGGAATCGTTTTATTTGTTCGTTTTGCTATTAGCGGGATAAGAATTTGATTATAATTAACATTAAATAATATTTTTACATATCATCAGTCAATACGTCAAGCCTTTAAACTTGCTCGTCTTGAAGATTTGTTGGACAGGCAATTCCATATCTGGAAAATAAGAAGAAGAGTTATCATTCGCACCAGTAACTTTCTGTCGATTTTAAATTACAAATCTCTTTGTGGTCCAACAATTTGTATCGATACCAGATTCAACATTGACAGTGAGTACAATCTGTACGATCGGCAAATCCTTTACTATCTGTTATTCAATTACAATTGGCACATCTTTGGCAATCTCTGCAATCGTTACAATTACTACAATTTCTTCAGAGACAGAGAAATTAACATTCTCATATCCATCACCCTTATCGACGTCTTTTTCAATAGATGGCCATACTAACTAACACCAGCAATCAATTTGAGATCTACGATTATCTCTCGATATTCGCCTGGTTTTACAATAACATTAGCTTCGCAAGATCCACCTTTGACTCCTTTGGTGACTAGTGACAATTTATCTTGGTGTTTAACTAGACTTGCAATGATTTCGAAGCAACATAAGTGATTACTCCAAGAAGCAAATTAATTATATTAGTTTATTAGAATTAAGGTTAAGATTTCATTGAGAGTTTGCAGTTTGCATTCAAGTTGTTTTGACTAGTAAATTCACCGATTTCAATGACTTTTCTGCTCTTTGTCTGGACTCAAAGGACTGAAAGGTAAATTATCACACTTCAATTAATCTGAATCATTAGTTGAAAGTCACTCAAATTTTTGTGAACATGTATCAACTCTACGCAAAATGAATTAGCTCTGCGTATATCAGCAAATGCTGATGCAGCAGCACTTACTCCTCAAAAGAAGTCATTGGATCATTGATGGAATCACAAAATGAAGTAAATAGATATACTTTGAATTTGATTTGAATTAAGGCTCAAAAGGCTAAGATTTCATTGAGAGTTTGCATTTTAGTTGTTTTGACCATTAAATTCACCGATTTCAATGGCTTTTCTGCTCATTGTCTGGACTCAAAGGATTGGAAGGTAATTTACCACACTTCAATTGATCTGAATCATTAGTTAAAAGTGACTGAAATTTTTGTAAACATGCAGCAACTCTACACAAAATGAATTAGCTCTACGTATATCGGCAAATGCTAATGCAGCAGCAATGACTCTTCAAAAGGTGTCATTGGATCATTGATGGAATCACAAAATCAGGTAAATCACAAAACGAGGCAAAACAGCCTCCTTTCCCAGCTGAGCAGTTACTAATGAATCGTTTTTAATTTTTTCGCTCTCTCATTGGCGAGATAAGAATAGTTTGAAGGTTTTGATTATAATTAGCATTAAATATCATTTGTAGATGGAAATATGGAGCATACAATGTCCATCGGAAGGGTCGAAAGACTAGGAGACATTGATTAGCATAACATCGGCCAATAGGTAAAGCTTTTCAACTTCCTCGCCTTGCACATTTGTTGAATTGGCAATCCCATATCTGGAAGATGAGAGAAAAGCACATAAGAAAAGTTGTCATTTCTAAAGGACTAAAAAACATTGATGAACATATCATTGGACAATACGTCATCATTAAACATTTGTTTAATCGTCAATTCCATATCTGAAAGATGAGAAGAAAGCAGATAAGAAAGTTTTCATTTTTCTGGTCACACCAGGAACTGCTTTTAAATTACAAACCTTTTTAGGGTCCAAACAGTTTGTATCGGTATCGAAATTCAACATTGACAATTTGTACAACCTGTGCGATCGGCACATCTTTGACTATCTGTACATCGTGTACAGTCTCTACAATCTGAACATCTCAGACAGTTGGCACAGCTTTCACAGTTTCTAGATCTTGAAAATTCATACAATCTCGACAGTTTGCATTTTCAGAACAGTTTCTACCATTTTTATTGTCTACAGTATCCGCACAGCCTGTACAATTGGCTCATCTTTGACGGTCTCTGCATCTGTCACGATTTCTACAGTTTGTTCAGTTCGTACTATCGTTACAATTTGCAAAATTTGTACAACCTACACAGTGATACAATTTTAATGCATCAAACCAGTAGAAAGCATGATGAGCGGACCATAAAGGCCAGAACGAGAATAAAAATATGGGTTTGAGATGCATCAGAGGAAAGAAAATGAAGGACATTAGAGGAAACGGGAATGTAATGTAATGAGAAATATTATTCAAATAAACAGTAAATTAACGGTGTTTCTTTTATGGAAGAGCTTTTATACTATTCATTTCCCTTTAATATAGTCTTCTCTCTACTGCTTGTTACTTCATACTTATTTAGTCATCCTTTTGTGCGAATTTATTATCTTGATCAGATTTATTATCAATTTTGATAAACACTGCATAGCCTGTCTCTGAATAGTTGATGATTGCAGCGCTATACTACATGTCAATATAGAATTGCATGAAGTATGCATTTTGACCATTTTATAAAATTTTGCGTTGCAAGCATAAATATTAAAAGGAATTGTTTATATTTACGAATGCATTTAAATCATAGTATAGAGACACTAGTGGCTATTGACAATTTTGATTACTTCCGATTTCCAGCAAATTAATAGAGCTTTGTGATGCAATCAACAATTTGATGAATTATTTAACATTGCAACAAATTGCATAACTTCATTTTCTTTCAAAAGGCACTAAAAAGTAACAAATAAACAATTAAACCAATATTCACGAGTATTTATTTACTTTTATTTGTGTCTGGAATTCATTTAAAGAAGGATATCGGAAAGCAAACCATATTTGTAAATCCGCACTTATATTTTTATAGAATGCGTACTTTTGGAATGTGCTTTTGGAATAAAAGAAGACAACTTATGCAATATGAACTTGCAACCAGCTAACCAAATATTCGTTTTATACAATTTGTAAATTTTTAGTTTTGAGTAAGTTCTTATCAGTTCAGTTTCATTCTATCCATTAAAGTTTTGCTATAATTGAAGATGGTTGACCGACTATCTAAACAACAAATCGCTGATATTTGGGAAGCTTTCAAATTGTTTGATAAAGATTGTGATGGTAAAATTACATCAATGGAATTAGGAGCCGTAATGAAGACTTTTGGATTAAACCCAACAGATAGCGAAATCGAGGACATCATCAACGAATTTGATGTTCATAATGACAAATTTATCGATTTCAATAGTTTTCTGACAATGATGAGTGCCAAAATGAAGGATACAGTATTGGAAAAAGAAATAAGTGAAGCTTTTCGCATTTTTGATAAAGACTGTGACGGTTTCATCTCTACTGAAGAATTTCGTGATGCAATGGATAAACTAGGTGAAAAATTTACCGATACAGAAGCTAATCAAATATTACAAGCTATCGATATAGATTGTGATGGACGAATAAGCTATGAAGGTAAGTTTTTATTTATTTTACATTGAAATAAAATTTCTCTCAAATTCATGTTTAGCTTTGAATAATCTCTAACATTTATTTTGAATAACTATTTTATTTACAGAATTTGCAAAGGCGATTGGATATAAACTTAAATCGAAGCTTTCATAAATCGAAATTCTATTTTAACATAAGCTGAAACGTTATGGCATTTGTCTATGAATTTTAAATAATAAAGAACTTCGTAATTAATTTACATATTTTTCTTATTTTCAAACTTGACATAATTTATGGATCCGGTTTAAAAGATTAGAATAATGAAAAAATGATGATACATAGATAGATGACGAGATCAGATACATGATCGTCTTGCCTTATTGCAATTTTCACTATCACTACAAAAATTTGCTAAGCTTGATCCTATTTATCTTTCAATTAATGAATAACTAATCACTATTTCAATGAAAGATACAACAAAATCTCAGGCAATCAACAGAATTTTCTTCAAAGGCAAATTCATCTTTCGTTCATTCACATTTTACAAAAAATTACCAGAATAATATATTGATTCGATAAAAGAATACATTATTTATGTGTTTATTTTAAAACAGGATAATTTTTTTGAGCGCGGTAAATGAAATTATCCTGGGACTAGCAGTTATGCAATTACAGTTTTGATTTTGATTAGTTTTTATTCATTCATCTAGCTGATCAAAATTTGATCACTATTTACTTAATCTCTGAAATATTAAACAGGTAACATTATTTCCTTTGCGCCGACCAAAACTAAATTGTGGTGTCTCGATTGCATCAAAAAGAGACAGAAATGGGGATGATGATGATGGTCTAGTGAACATGTTAATCAACTCTTCTTTGGTCCAATTGCATGAGGCAATCATGAAAAATCCATCATCTGAAAGGATATAATTTAAAGTTGCAAGGTAACCACTTGTAACCTGCTTTAAATCTAGATCAGGATTAAGACAGATTGCATCAAAAGTTCCCTAGTCAATGATGAGATTAAATTTGATCTCAACAGGGATTAAATTATTTTTATACAATGTAAGCACATTACCAGCCAAAGTCATTAAGCCATCTATACACAAATCTTTTGCCATCTGATCGACCAGTTTAATTGATTTCTCAGCATAATCTAATCCAGTTAAATCAGTGTAACCCTCTTGATACAACGAATACAGTAAATGACCATTACCACAACCAAGATCTATTATTTTACATTTAACACAATCCGGCAATTTACGTTTCACCCATTTAACCATTTTAGTAACCAATCCTTTACCGAACCAGATTTCACCAGGATCCTGATGATCAAGATAGTTATCCAGTTCTCCCTGGTACAAATTTTCCCAGTAGCCTTTAGTTCCGAGGAGAGATGAGTTTATTGTTTCTTCTTCCATGCCTTTTGTTCCAACCAAGAAAACAGAGTTTGAAAACAATTGATGGAACCCGGATAAAACTGAAAGTGAAATTAAAAGCAGGATTAATTAACAGGTTAAACCTAGGAAAAGCGTAGGAAATGAATCACAAGAGTCAACTCACCTCAACAAGTAAAACTGAACAAAACGGTAAAGACAATGCTAATTGCTGACAGACTGCTGTTACACATGGATTAACGGAGCAACAAAGAGATCTCACAGCTCGGACAAATGTTAATTAATGTCAAACCAATTAAAAATTAGCACTACACCATCGAGAGATATTGTATAAGAATTAATTAATTAGTATAATCATTCAACCAGTAGGTGTCCAATAAAAGAGCAAACCATAACAATTTTAAAAGATTGACTCTAAGGGAATAGAAAAATATGAAAACATGAGTGATTAAAATTAGATTTTCTATTGAACAGATAAGCTTTCATCAGAGTGATTAAAAGCAATTAATGAAAAACATGCAAAGGGATTAAGTCTCAATTAATTAGAGCTACTTTACCTTTTAATATACACAGTTTAATAACTCTATGTTTGTAGAGATCATGTGTGCAGAGCAGAAGAAAAAAACGAGGGAAACCATCCATGCTTCAAATTTCAATATGAAAAGACTCAGATTTTGTTTCCAGTTGAATCAGCTCGTGTAAAGATGGAAATGTGAGATCTAAATTGATCCGAAATCAAAGTCTAGACAAATATAGATGCCTATTAAGCAGTGATTAAAATTACAAGTCAACTTTAAACAATCTTTTAGAGAATTGTAAAATAAATACAAAATGAAACATGTAACATACCCAAAAAAAGTCTACCACCATGACTGTCTAATAGCAGCTTAACCAGCAATAAATCAATATGATGGAATGACAATTTAACAGCTATTAAAAAGAAATGTATAAAGTAAATAGAAGCTTAATTATATGCACAAAAAGAATCGCAAGTTGCCTGTTCCATCAAAGTGATGAATATGTGAATATCCAGGGAAAAACGATGATTTAGCTGTTAATGTTGACAAACTTGATGGTGGTAATGATGGTGAAGATAATGGTTAACAAAATAGCAGATTATAAAATGATTTAAAATGTTATTTAGTTTCTCCAATGAAGCCTTACATCAGCAAAATGTGATCTCTGATCAGATGAGAGTTTGTGAAGAGACAAGTGATGACAAATAAAGACAGAGTAAAGGATGACAACTCTGATACAGGTAAAGGCAAAAATATCAACAACAGTATTTAACAGATGAAAAATAAGAATCAAATTGTAATTAAACCAATTCAAGACCAAAAATACTCTAACATTATTGTTGCCTTGTTGATTGTTACAAGCTGTTGTTACCCCCTCTTATGGGCAACTAATACAATATTCATAGAGTATTGATTGGCGGGTAAAATAAAAATGGTCAAAGCAGCCTTTTGTTTTTATTTAGCGTAACCAACCAAACAACAAACATTACGTTAACCAAATTAGAATGCATTTGAATTATTAATTAATCTTTGAATCATTAAATTAATTGTGGAAAAGGTAAATGTGAAAAAGTGTGTCTTTTGTTTCTTCATTTCAATAAATAAAAATGTGAATATGAAAAAAGAGGTAAACGACAAAAAAACTTTGCTCAACCCAAACTCCTTTTTTTAGGTTATTCAATATGTTAAAGGATGAAAGTGAAGAATCAAAAATGCAATTCAATCCATTAATCAAAATGCTCTTGACTGGTAAAAGTAATAACAATAAAAACAAAATGAACATTGATGATTATCTCATAATATTGGTAATGATCAAGTTTACGATAAAAATAGCTCAACATTAATGATAAATGTTAATCGATGCTTTAAATCTTGAAGTAAAATTGTCTTTATAAATGAAAACATTGGATTGAATGAGACAATTTAGGACTTGATTGAGTGTGAATAAACTTCAATCAAGCGTGTGTCAGATCAACCTGTTAAATTCAGCGATAACATTTGCTTTTTGATAAGCCAAAGCCTCGAACAGAAGTCAATTCGAATGACCTTGAATGAACCGAAAACAAAAATTCGAATTTTTCAATTTTCTTTTGAAATTTCGATATTTTCTTTCGGCTCAACAAACCTCAAAAAGAGGCAAAATTTTCTTCGATGCTCGAGGACAAAATATAATTCAGAGCTTATTCTTTCAGTTAATCATTGGAGAAAAGTCAAGCTGATAAAAAAATCGTGTTTTCTATCGATTTGAATTTCTTCACCTTCAACCTTAAAATTTCAAAAAATCGTTTAATGTAAGTCTATAATGGTTCATCAAAATGTCCAAAGATTTTCCTTGGAAACTTCAGTTTTAAAATGCTGAGATAAATTCGATGGATATTTTTTGCTTTAAACAAACCAATTGATTGATATTTGTCGTGAAAATTTAACTTGAAAATATTCCGAGTTTTTATTAAAGAATCTAATTCACTATTCACTTTCACAAGCTTTTACGACTGCTTCAAGAATCGATATTTGTGTCCAATTGCAACATTTGATTTCATTCCCACAACATTGGAAAATTAAAACCAAAATCTGGAGGAAACTGAACTCCAAGTGAATTCACGATCAAGTTGATTTATCGAGATTAAAGTCGACATTCATAAATCTCAACTGTTGAATTACAATGTTTACAGAATTGCCTACTCATCAAGTATTCTGATCAATTGGTTGGAAAAATGGTTTTTACCCTGAAAAGGAAAATTAATGAGAAATTATTTATAAAAATCAATTTACTCTGCATTTTCAATCAATTTGAAAATTAGCTGAAACAGGGAATGGAAAGAATAAGTTTCAATGAATCTAAACGTATCATTTCAACTGTAATGTTATAACCTGAAAATGATGAAACAAGTATTCAATTGAATTGATTAAAGCAAATAGAAAGAGTAAACTGAGACAACAATAATAACGAGTGAAAAGCAAATTATAATCAAGTCTATAAATATTTGATTAAACTGTATCAAATCCATTTAATCAGAAGGAAAAATCCAATTCAATTTGGTGAAGTTTTGTTCACTTGATCCATTGAAAAGTTTCTCGAAGCACAAAAAAGTAAAAACAAGAAATTCTATTAAAGCTTTTCGTTAGTCTGTTGATGATTAAAACGATCTGATGAATGACTGAATATAATCAGCTTATCATCAAGACTTTTCATTGTTACCCCAACAGAAAATAAAGTCTTTTAATCCGGAAAAAGTTGGATAAAACCGCAGAAATCTATTGAAATTTTTAAAAGCAAAAGGGTTAAACTAAAAATAAAAAAGGACCAAAAGATCAAAAAATCAATGAGATTATTTTTAGCTGAAACTTTACTAATTGCGCTTGCACAAATTGCAATGTTTTTCAACAGTTTAAGCTCAATTTTCAAAAACATTTGAAACATTTAACTTTGAATTGAACTTTTCAGATGAAAGTTTCGTTTTAGTCTCAATTTTTTTATTTGGGTCTCAATTTATTTTCTTGGTTTGGATTTGAAAGCTTTCATTAGGAAGTTGGTATCCATTAAGGGTATGGAAATGCGTTTATTATGCATTATTGTATTAATTTGATGAATCCACTTAAGGCTCAATCTAGTTGATTGATACAGTTAATTGTTTCCCTCACTCGATTGGCTAATAAAAATTGATACAAATTCCCTGATGTTACAGAATTTCATTTGCTTCAAGGTGAAATATTTCGTATAACATTATAATCGAAGTCAAATTGATTTGATATTCAAATAAAATCAAATTATTTCGAGTAACTTTGCAGGAAAAAAATGAAAGAAGGAAACATCCATTAGTTTATCTCTTTAACGCCATTAAGAAAATGAGCAATTATTGAAAAGATAACTTTTTTGATTAAAAACTCGAATTATTGAGAGTTACTCAGATAGTATGTAGAAAGGATAAGAAAGATGTCGAAAAACGACAAAGTTCGTAGAAGTCACCTAATTTTTTGAGCGTAAACATAATGTTTCTAATGGTTCTAGGATCATTAGACTTATTTGAATGTTAGTTGACTTATTACTTATTACTATTATTACTAATAGTTGAATGAGAGAATCGTCAATGATGTACCTTTGACCCTCGGCCATATGATTGTTAGATGAGAATTATAAATCAAACCTAGCTTTGCGCATTTTAGCCCATTCGCAATTGTTGTATCGAAGAGTAAAGACTAACTAACTTCCAAGGTTTTATTTAAGTCTGTTTATCTGTTTGTTCCTACTTTGCACATTTTGCATTTTTATTTATTTGCAATTTATCAAAAAATTATGGAGCAAGCTGATGCCCGCGGTAATGCCTGAAATAGTTTTTTTTGACCTGCCCGAGTTCATTTCTTTGCGTGCTTGCTCATGAACACCAACAATTCATCTCAACCCCCTCGGGTCGATGAAATGATCCGTGTCATGTACATTCGTCTTGTTCCTAAAGAAACCACCCGAGTCACCATGAACATCAGTCAACAAAGTATTCGATTGTTGAATGCTAAAGAAAGACTTCTCTTATAAATCTAACCCAGTTCTACCTAGCATCTTATTTAGTTTCATTAAAGTAACCAAGCATTTCACTTCGATTAATATAACAATTTGCTTAACAAAGGCTTAACTATTAATTACTATTAGCAACTAATCAATAAAAGGCTCGATTGTCCAAGAGTATTCACTCCACGTTTGGTGCAATATCTCACGAATCAAACTATTATAACAAAGAAACTCCTCAGGTTTATGCTTTTGAAGATAAACTGAACGGTGTAGGCTATCAAAAATCAACAGCTGGAGTGATGAATCAAATTCTAGCTATAAAGTGTAGCTATAATAAACTATAACTATGGTTTGGGTTAGATTTATGCAGTTAAAAGTCATTGTACTTGATTATTTGCAAAATTCAAGCTCATTTATTAGACAAAATTGGAATCTTTTCTCTTGAATATTGACGTAAACAACTCAATTCTTCAACTCGTGAGCTTTTTAGCATTGAACTTTTCATCTAATCCCTTTTACTTTTGAACGTTTAAACCATTTGACCATGAAATGCAAATGTTTCAAGATAAATGGATAGTCGGCTCAAATGGTTTAGGTTAATTTGAGCAAATCTCTTTACATCAATATTCAAACTATCTATTTTACTGCATCAGAAAATTTTATTTCTCGAAGTGCTTTTTTCATGCTGTTCATTAAAAGTTACACGAAAAAATTAGTTAAATGAAAAATTGTGTTCAATAACTGCATAAAAAGCGAATGAAGTGCGAACATTGGACAATGTTCTACCGAAAAATATCGATCAGACAATTTTTTAATTTTACTTAAACTGGTCAAGATTGAGACCTAAACTTGAATGAAATTCGTCTTTTTCGATAGCTGATCGAAATAGATTTATTCAACCGAAATCGTTTCTGTGTTTAACTGGTGATCTGATTAAATCGAAACGGATTAGTTTCTTGCAAGTTTCAGAGTAATTTATTCCATGACTTTAGTCTAATAAATGACTATCAAAACAACATGCTCAAATGCACAAGTTTAATTTTACTAGAATTGAAGTTGATCAACAGTTTGATCATTTTTTGCTGAATCATGTTTATTCATTTGCATACATTTCAAGTTTCCTGCTTATTACAATATCATCTGGATGCCTTCAAGGAATGGTAAATAATGATAATAGTAAAATAATATGTGAATCAAGACTGGATGAGATGAATAAGGTGTAAATTAAGGAAAGTTCATTTTTAATGAAGATTCAGTGTGATAATGGTGGAGACAATGAAAATTGAGACAAGTGCAGGTTAATGTAAATATTGATCAACAACAATGAGAAAAGATATTCAAGAGAAAATTTTTGTTGATGAGTGCAGATAAAAAAGAGAGATAAATATGAATATTCAAAATTCCATCATGAAGCATGAATAGTAAATGTTGTTCTAGTCAAAATTAAAACCCAAACCCAAACCCATTGTAAGATTATAAGAAGAGCCCAAAAAACCACATTCGTAAAGATAAAGGACAATAATAAATATTGAATGAGTTTGATGATTACAAGTTAATAGCAATTTGAAGGTAATAATTCTGGTTATGAAAGAGAAGAAAAGAAGGAAAGGAAGAGAAGAAGAAAAAGAGAGTTCAATAAGGAATCACATAAAGCTCATCATAAAAACAAAACCGATCAAACTGAATCTAAATATCTAGATCAATAGAGACTATCTATTCATGTATTGCTAGGTAAGTAAAAAAAATGTTGGAAAAAAGGAAAGGAGAAGGAAAGAGTTGAAGAGAGAAGAAGAAAGAAAAGGATAGACCGAGAGTTTCCATGAGAGATGAATTAAAGTGAGTCTGACTATTAGGCTAACTGTGAGTTT